ATTAGATATTAATTACTATAAATAAATAAATAAATATATATATATTTATTATACTCAAAACCCAGTAATAAAACCCAGAGTCAAAATCCTAATACTAATAATAATAAGATAAAATAGCTCTATATCTCTATATCTCTATATCTCTATATCTCTATATCTCTATATCTCTATATCAGACTACTCTGTGTTCTCAGATGGATCCGAACAATACGATGGACACGGTCACCGCGTAGAATACGGTTTTGCGATCTACTGCAATAAGCAACAGGTCGATAGTAGCTACAGCCGCATACGCGAACAGTTGTATATCTTTGATGCCGAGGCAATCGGTGTATAGCGGGGATTGGAGTACTTCCTGAATATTATTAAATGCTTTTATCAAGACTAAATATAGCTATACATTAATAGCACTTTAGTGATCTAAGGAATGCAAGGAAGTATTGCTGATTCCTTTTAATAAGCTTATTATGAATACCATCAAGCAATGCGATACTATAATATTGTAGTCAAGTGGTCTTTTGGGTATATCGAGATAGAGAGCAACAAGATAGCCAATCGCCTTATCAATCAGGGTACAACTGGATCATTTGATCCTGGCCTATTGTATTTCCCTATTGTTAGTAATTCCCGCTTTATTCTATATATCAAATATCAGTATTCAGAAAGTAAGTAGTAGAATATAAAAAGAGATCTGATCTTCGAAATATATAATGTATAGAAATCGGTATATAATATCTTAAAATTAGAGAGTTTTAAGCTTTTTTGTAGAGTACTATATAGACTTATAGTGATATAGACTAAATATAATGATTTTGCAGCCTATTATATTAAATTCAACCACAAAAATAATATAAACATTTATATATATAGGATTAAGAAAAGTCTATTACATTTCTTTTGATATCTAATTAATAATCAGATATACAGCAATTGGCTGTTTACACTAAATTGATTATAATTTGAATAAAATACAATAGTATATGTTAACCATATCCTATAATTACAATATAGCTTTACTAATCTTTTTATTAAATTCAGATTTTATATTAAGATATGCTCAAACTATATATAATTATACAGATATTAACCTACTTTAATATCCCAAGAATAAACTCTCTATCCCAATCAATCTAAGACCTACACCGATTAGCTATAAGTGCTCCGAGCACTTTCCCGATCGATAGCGGTCGACCCGATTATCCGCCGATACTTGAATAATATATAAAATAAAATTCTCTAGAACAGGATTACAAATCCTTAAATAGAACAGCTACAGAATTGCTATAAGCAATACTGAATAGGAGAACACTAAAGGCAATAAGCTTCTGATTAACTAACATTACACTACTATGAGCGGCTGAAATGCTAGTGGCCTGTAGGCCCGCTCCTTAATACATCTAGAATACCCCTTGGGAGGTTAGATATTAGACATTAATCACTATAAATAAATAAATAAATAAATAAATAAATCTCTATATCTCTATATCTCTATATCTCTATATCTCTACAGCTCTATAGATATCAATAATCGGAATAGTATAATCATCTGTAATCGACTTCCCACTTTTCACTTTCTACTTATTATATTTATATTTATACTTATAGCTAACTATTATTATTAAAGTTAGATATATACCCTGGGTTTACTAGGGGTTTTGGTTTTGGTTTTGATTATAGATGAGTGAGGAATAAATAGGTATTTATAGAGTATAGAGTATGAGTATTTATAGAGTATGGAGTATGTATAAAGTATATATAATAAATGTATAAAAAATATAGTTTGCTTAATGATTGATTTTAATATGATAATAGAGTCTTGAATTCGCCATTCATAAGCTCTATCTTTATTCAGAATACGTCGAGCCGCTCCGAAAAGAGTTCGAATGGTTGATGGGTATTAGGAAGGGGAGAGGAAGTGGAAGTGTAAGGGAGGAGAGGAAGAGGAAGTGGAGAGAGAGAGAGAGAGAGAGAGAGAGAGAGAGAGAGAGAGAGAGAGAGAGAGAGAGAGAGAGAGAGAGGGCTTAATGAATTGGATTAGATCGTTTTATTAGGTAGTTGGTATTTGTTTATGGAGTTGAGTAGAGTAGAGTAGAGTAGAGTTGAGTATTCAGTATTATTATTTATTATTAATAGACGAAATAAAGAATGAAGGAATTATTCTTTAATTAGTAGTAGTAGTAGTGATTATTAGTTAGTTTTATGATATAGTATATGCTTGAATATGCTTGAATATGCTTGAATATGCTTGAATATGCTTGAATATGCTTGAATACGCTTGAATACGTCTGAATACGTCTGAATACGCCTGAATCCGCTCAAGTATAATGAATGATTCAATTCCATCAACTTTTCTCCCTATAATCGTATAACATGACTCAGAATTGATCGGTAAGTAAGTAAGTAATCCAATCTAAAAATATCTAGGTTCAGCTATGAGATTAGCCGCCTTTTTTCCTAAAGCTTCGAGAAGAGGTACGTACGGTATGAAATGGAATGAAATGAAATGAAATGCGAGGAAGTTCATTCATTGAGTCGTATGCACAGAGACTGATACGGTAATAGTTCCTCACATGTAATACCAGAGTCAGGATTTGATTAATCGGTTCGATGGGGAATTAAGATATGCTTAGAATAGAACTAGTCGATATTGAGATCGAGGTAGTGTATGCTACCGTGTTGTGGGAGAATCGGGTATCCGATTAGAACCGGCCGTCCACTGACTGGTGTTTTGTTTTGAGGGTTACGCCGGAAGCTAAGGGATGGTGGTGGAAGGGATGGGCACTGGTGGTGGAAAGTGTGGAAGCGTGAGCATGGAAGTATGGAAACATTGAAGCGTGAGCATTGAAGCATGGAAAGCGTCTAATCCTTAAATCCGATTTGGATTGATGAATTCACACGAGGGAGAAAGATACTTCAAGAGTAATAGCATAGTAATAATTGATAGAAGTCGAGTAAAAGCGTAGCTAGTAAATATTGAGATGGTGAAGATGTACTCAATATGACTCCTAGAAAGGTCAAGCCTCTCCAGTCTCCAGTCTCCAGTCTCAAATCTCAAATCCACTCGACGTTTCAAAACGCCTCACCTCGTGCTTACTCTCCTATCCTGTCATAATAATTTCCTTTCTCTCCCTTCCATGGCTTCTATCGTATCCTTCCATGATTCCATCACTTCACCCTAACCAATCCGAAGCATCCATGCATCACACACACCACTGCCAAGTTGAACCACTCATCATTACGAACTCACCGTCTCACACTTTTGCCATGCGAAGCCATGCAGATGCCATGTGTATTTGGAGCCTGTACCGGAACCCCTGGTTACATTTCCCTGGTCTAGGTCGTAGGTAGGTATCCTCCTTTCATTCAGAATATATTAACTGGACCATCCTCAAAGGGAACTAAAGTTGTGAAAGGAATCCACCATGCCCGATTTGGGAATAGAAAAAAGACTTTGCACAGTAATGGATCATGATGGATGAGATGGATGAGATGGATGAGATGGATCTGGATGATATAATTGGGATAGTCCACACTTACGACGGCTTACAGAGCATTCATTACATAGTATGCTGGTCCATGTGCCTGCTTCATGGCATTGGATTGGCATGGGTGACATTTTCTTTTGGTTGTCGAGACCCTTTTTAATGCTTGAAGGAGGTAATGATACTGTGTGTAGGATATTCTGTGTAGGATATTCTGTGTAGAATATTCTGTGTAGGATATTCTGTGTAGAATATTCTGTGTAGGATATTCTGTGTAGGATATTCTGTGTAGGAGTATTACTGTGTGGAGGAGTATGTATACATTGCTTTTGATTATATATTAGTGATAACGATACCTACCTAGGTGATGGATGGATGGATGGTACTGTATTGTATTGAATTGAATTGTCGACGGATGTCTAAGGAAAGAGAAGGTATCCTGTTCGATTCAATTCAATTCATCAATTCATCAATTTATTCATTCAATCAATTTATTCATTCAATGTCAAATCAAGCAATCAATTCAATCATACCACATATTGGTATTAAAGACTACTCGTGGATCCTTTGAAAAACTCCCAACTGCTAACTGCTAACTTCTAGATTGACCCCCATCCAAATTCCACATAGATATGCACATCTATGTCCATATTCATCTTCATCTCCATCCATCTCCATCCATACCCATCCATCTCCATATCCATATATCCACCATCCAAATCAACCTGTACACTCCGTAGTAATTCATCATAAATTATCTTCAAAAGGCGGCGTGTGGTCCGTCCCCGAACAACAAGACAATTCCTTATAATTGTAATTGTAATTCTTGTTATTTATCATTTTTTCCTTTTCTTTCCTTAAACATACCTCACTGGGGAGAAATTCCTTTGATCAATTTCTAGTCATTGTCTCTAGTCTCCGGTCTCTAGTTTCTACTCTCCGGTCTCTAGTCTCTAGTCTCTGACACCAAGTTTCATCCTAAACATTCCAAAGGAAACGAAGAAGGAAAAAAAGAAGATTCTCGTCCAGAGAGGAGAGACTACCACCCTATCCCATCCCATCTTTGTTCTTCCAAATTCTACACCGTCTTGTCGAGAGGTCTTCAATTTACTCGTACAAGATAATTCATTTCCATACTTTCCAATTCTCCACACAAAGGAACACTCTTTCACTCCTCCAACTTAACTCGACTCAACTTAACTCGACTCAACTTAACTCAACTCAACTTAACTCAACTCAACTTAACTCAACTCAACTCCATTTCACTTATATTCGCTTCATACAACAACATCATCTTGCAACTTCCGTTCCAGAAAATTAATATCAATAAAAGATCCGACCCGAACCAAAACCCTCCATCTTTCGGTTATCTCGAGATTCAGATCACTCTCGCATGATTTGATAGTTTTGCGCCGAATGTCTCCATTTACAAATTCAATCGCATTTCCTTAGAAATTTATTGGTCAAACCGAGGATAAGGGGAGATAGAGTCTTGATTTCACCCAGACTTTTGCGCCCATGGGAAACAGTTCTGGAAAGCCGGTGAACTTCGAAGATGAAGGTATGATTATGATTGCATTTTGGTTGAGCGAGGATTCAGTGGCAAGAGAATGTGCTAGGAATTCCTCGAATGCTCGAGGGCTTCCGAGTCTTTGTTACCGCTATCATCCCACCACCATGAGTCCTTTTTGCTGACAGATGACTTCTTCACGATAGTGAGCCTCAATCATTTTCGACTTCTGCGAGTGGTTGGAAAGGGTGCTTTTGGAAAAGTAAGGATAGTAGAGAGGAAGGATACCGGATTGACGTTTGCGCTCAAGTACATTCGCAAGGATGAGGGTTGGTGATACTTGATTCCAATCTGGAACGACTACTGATTTCTGGAAAATATAGTCGTTCGACAAGAAAGCGTCCGGAATATAATTCGAGAACGACGAATGTTGGAGCATCTAAATCACCCATTTATTTGTAACTTGCGATATAGTTTTCAAGATATTGAGTACATGTACGTTGACTTGCATCTGGACCTGCATCTCGACCGGGACCACCAGCACTCACTAACCTTTCAACAAACAGGTATCTAGTCGTCGATTTAATGAACGGAGGAGATTTACGCTTCCATATTTCGAGAAAGACCTTCACCGAGGAAGCTGTTCAATTTTGGATTGCCGAACTTGGGATTGCATTAAAGTACATACACAAGCAGGGTATCATACATCGGGATGTCAAACCTGACAATGTTTTATTGGATTCCGAGGGGCATATTCATTTAGCAGATTTTGTTTGTCCTCCCAAGAACACGTCCCGAGTATGAACACAACGCTAACATCCTGCAGAATGTTGCATCGGATTACACTTCACACAGACTATTAACGAGCAAATCTGGCACTCTAGCGTATCTCGCACCAGAAGTTTACAAAGGATGTGGATATGGCCCTGGCGCAGATTGGTGGTCATTGGGAGTACTGTTCTACGAATGTATCTACAATAAGGTATGCTTGGACTCATTTCCAATATCCTGTCAACCCCACTTTTCACTTTTCAATGCTAACCAATGTATCCAGAGGCCATTCGAAGGTAGCACACAGACAACTCTCGCAGCACAGATAACCAAAGCTTCACCGAATTTCCCCATCACTGCACCAGCCGTTTCTATGCCATGTTTACATGCCATTAGCTCAGCTCTCGAGGAGGATCCAGCGAAGCGAATGGGTTCAGCCGGATTCGAAACTTTTACCGATAACCCTTTCTTCAGACCCATAGATTTCGAGGCACTCGAGAGAAAGGAAATCGAGCCAGTCTTCGTTCCATCCAGTGAAAAGACAAATTTCGACGCCACTTATGATCTCGAGGAATTACTATTGGAGGAAGCACCTCTAGAAGCTCGGGCACGTCGACAAAAGCCAAGAGAGGCTCTCAAGGAGGATGCGACAGAGAAGGAAATCAAGGAAGAAGAACTCCACAAGATGATTGAAGCTCAATATACGACATTTGATTACACCAAGGCAGCGTATGACAGGTTAGCACTCTCCTACAACCCGTTTCCCCTTATGCTAACTCAATCTCCTTAGATACAATGAAGGTGGTGATCCAAATTCTCCGCCTCCGGTTACACAAAATGTTAGCCCGTCGACTCCAGCATCACAAACTTCTGATGAATTTCCAAAGGCCACTCTCACGCGCACTTTATCTAAGAATCGCAAGAGAGCAGCTTCGCGGTCTCAACCATCTTCACGTTCTGAATCACCATCGAATAGTGCAAATATTCCACCAGTTCCCAACTCGCAAATTCCTGGCTCTCAACAACCTTCCCAAAATACTAGCCCTGTCTTAGGACCTCCTCGTTCCGTACCTCATTCACATTCACCAAGTACCACCAAAACACCCTTATCACCGTATCAACAATCATATAACCGCCCTCATCGTCCTGGTGGAATACGCAAGGAATCACAAGGTGGTGGTATGCAAGTGGTTTTAGGCGAAACTGGAAGTTGGTCAGAATTGGCCAAGCAAGATGCAACCCTACCCGCAGATGCTAAATTAGTAGAAGCGCATGCCAAGCCAACTGGTATGTTAGGATTCTTATCTAGAAAGAAGGGTAGAGGACACAGTCCCAAGCCACAGGAGAGGGGTATCTTAGGAAAGGAAGGTGCAAGAGTTATTATAAGCCAAGGTTGAAAATGTATTGAATCAGAATGATTCGATGAGACATTTCAATCCTATTGGTACCCATTTACGAATTTCCGATACACAATTTCCTTTGGTGCGATCAATGTACATTCATTGCATTCGTTGCATTTTCAAAGGGGGTGGGGCAAGCGGGAGTTTTATCACTTTTATTTTACCCGATCATACGTACACGGCTTTCTCACTACTCGAGCATGCTGGAGTTTTAATTTCTTTTTCTACATATTTCTTTTGTTCATGACAGATATGCTGGAGGAATTATGAACTCCATGTGGTTTTTTTTTCTTACGGAGAGGGAGATGTAAATATTAAAAGAGAAGCGATCGAATAGGCATCTGCCTTGCGAGGAACGATCGGTACTTGAAGCGAACGAAAGACTCGAACTCGAATCTGGGATATGATTTTCATAGGATTAAATATGGAGGTACTGATGGAATGGAAATGATCTCTAGGATTGAGTATCGCTTTACATTCTACTTTTGAGGGTTGGGGGGAAGAGGATTGATGAAATAAGTTGGGATAGGAAGTGATGAGATAGATACCATTTGGAGAGGGAAACCGAGATTGCAATCTTTAGGATATGCGAATACGGTATGGGATAGGGGATATTCCCGGGGATTGGAATTGGTGATGGGCATGGTATGATATGGATATGATGGTTGATAGAATATGATAGGGTAGGGTAGAATAGGATTGGATTGATTGAGTTGAGTTGAGTTGGATTGAGATAGAATATGGGACGAATGGATGGGTGGATGGATGGGATGGAATAAGATGAGATGAGTTTGAGTGCTTTTGTAGATATGATACCAAGATGAAATACGAAACATCTTTTCTCTTTTTTTTATTTTTCTGTTTCTTTTTGATATTGACTTTGATTTTGACTGTGACATTGATTTTGACATTGACTTTGGAATTGTATATATGTTTATATATGTTTGTATATGAGGGGGAAAACGAGGAACAAGCAGAGATCAAAATCATTTGAATAAGAATGAGAATGAGAGTATAATATAGATTGAGAATGAGATAGATGATTATAAATAAGATTTTGAAGGAAAAAGAGAAGAGGGGGGTGGGGAGCGGGGGCAGGTTTAAGAGATTTCTTTATGTTTGTTTTTCTTTTTTTTTTTTTTTTTAATATAAGAGTTTTCTATTTTCTATTTTTATAAATATATAGTAATTTAAATATTTATTATAAAACTTTAGAATTAAGATATATATAGAAATTTAATATATAGATATTTTAGTATTAAAAATATCAGTTCTAGAATTATATTTATTGAAAAATTCTATAAAGAATTTTGATATTTAAAATAAATATTATTTTTTATAATAATTTCAAATATTGAAAATTTATTATAGATTTTCTTTATCAAATGAAAAGATTTTATAAAAATATAAAATTTTGCTGCTAAGGTTTATATTAAAATTTATTTATTTGTCGAATTTCAAATATCTAATATATTGATTGATTTAATATTGAATTCTAAAGTAGGTGAATTTTGATATGAAAAAGTGTTTATATATAAACTTGATATTTAATAAAAACAGAGTCTTATATATATATTTAATTATTTATTTATTTACTTATTTATATATTTATATATCTTGGAGAAAAATACGAGTCGGGTCTATATTAATTTAATTATAAATATTCTTCTAAATGTCTATTTATAAAAACGACTTTACTTATTAAATGTTAATTATCTATGTTATATTAAATTAATATATTAAATTAAATTAATATATTAAATTAAATTAATATATTAAAAGTTTTAATTTATTATTCGGATTATATGTTATTTATTATTGATTTATGAATTATTGAAATTTAAATTAGTATTAGGTTTTAATAAAAGTTTCAAATTGAAGATATATATTGATTTAATTGTTTTTGTATATATATATTATTGTTTTTATTATAAAATAATATAATAATATATCTTTTTGAATATATATATAATAAAGTTCTATACTAGTATCGAATCACATGATCAAAAACACGTGATCGTCGCTTATAAGCTTCCGAAAGCAATCATACGAAAACGATTATATTTAGCTTCCGAAAACGATCATTATTAGTTTCCGAAAACGACTATTAATAAAGAATATAAAAAGGAGCTTTATTTCGAAGGAATAACCGAATTAGAAAGAGATCTACAAGAGATTAACGAAAGCGGAAAGCTAGATTGGATTGGAAAAAGTATAAAATAAGAGCTTTTTCCCTTTTAATATAGAATAAGAAAGTGAATATCAATATACAGATTCATAAATATCACGTGTTTTTATTGCTTTTTAGTTGTTAAACTGAGCCAGCTTCCCATAATAGACTAATACTAGTCTATTCCCTCTTATATTCTATTTATACTAAATACTCATATACTAGCTCATGACCTACGATAAAAACAAATTCAAAATAAATTTTTTAAAAGGGAAAGGTAATATTACACTATATATATAATCACATCTAATCAGGCTAGTATAGTACTAAGCTTTGAGCTAATTATATATATAGTTTTGTAGTACGCTCTCTTTAACTCTATAGCTTTTAATTCTAAGATTGATCTCTAAACGTTCGTTGGGTTCGTCACACTAAATACCTATTTATAAAAAAAAATTATTTTTTCTAAATCCTTCAAAGTAAGTATATTATAAATTTATAATAAAATTTTATAATTCATTTTTAGTGATTTTTATTAAAAAATTATTAAAGATTGTATGAATGTTTCAAATTTATATATAATTTCTATACAAATTTAAAAATCAATATTTTGAAGCTCTAGATCTCAATATAGAAAAATCCTAAAAATCTGAAATTTTCAAAATAAGCTAAAAATGATCTAAATTATATATATATATATATATATATATATATATATATATATATTTAATAAATCCTATTTACAAATAAGAAAGTTAAAAATTCTATTTTTGATATAAAAGTAATCCAAAAAGGGGGGTGGTCAGAAAGTAGGGTATCCGATTCAATATCTAAATGGTGATATAATGATAATATAGATTTATAATTGAGGTCAATTACAAAGTACGAATCATACCTAAACCACAAAACATACTGGGCTTTTCCCCCTAAGGTATACCTAAGTACCCAGGAGCTAGTATACTCAAGCGAACAACTGACCTCCCTAATCAGACATCTAACATCTAACATCATGGAATCAAACGACTAACTCTCCCTCACAAATCTATAAAAAATTCCACTAATCGCCACCAGTAAACCACCACATACTAAAAACACTCCGCGTCGATACTCTTCTCCTTCTCTCACTAGCGCTAGACTAACTACGACGAAGATATTCAATGGAACTCTCAGTGCGCCATAGATTCGTGCTCGCACACCATCTTCGATCCATTTCCCCTTGAGGGATCCGACGGATGGGAAATACATACCGACCATTGCTTCGAAGATGCAGAAGGCGTAGAAGGTGTAGTGTTGATTTTCGGTGAGGAGGGGAAAGAGGAGGGAGATGGAGGAGAGGGCGAAGATGATGGTGAGGAGACGGGTTTGGGTTAGAGAGGGGAAGGTGGAAGAGAGTTGGGTGAAGGTGAGGGAGCCGAGCATGACTGAGGACATGAAGGAGGCGAAGATCATGCCGAGGGGGAGGGGTGGGGAGGAGGGAGATGGTTGGGTGGATTTGAGGAAGGGGGTCCAGAAGAAGACGAAGAGGTACATGCTGCCTTCGAAGAAACAGGAGGCGAGACCGAGAGTGAAGATTCGTGGGTTGGTGAAGATTAAACTGAGGGCTGAGGTTGTGGGAGGGGGAGATTTGGAGGTGCGCGAGGGAGCATTAGCGTTGGGTGAGGTTGGTGACGTTTCGGAGGTGCCAGAGGTGGACTTTTGGGCTTTGGTTGCACTATCGCCATAGTTTTCGGTCTATTGAAAATGTGATTAGTTATGGACAGAGACTTCTCTCGAAATGGAAGATCTTACCCAGTACATAGTAATGATATACGCAGAAATTCCCAAAAGACATGCAGAAGCCATAAATGGCATTCTTCTATCATCTGTAATCTGAACCAACCATTCGCTAAAAACGCCTGACAAAATAGCCATGACACTATTTAAAGTAGACATAACTCCAAACAAACTATTCAAACTCATCCCGGCTTTTTGTATATTCCTTTTATGATATTCCGTAACCATCCAACTTTCAAAAGCGCTAAACATCAAGCTTGTACTTAAACCTCCAAAGATTCGTCCAACAAACAGTATCGGAGTGCTAGGAAAGATGGTTGAAAAACACGAAAGTGAATAGGTAAGACAGAAGACGAGACATGCTGATTTGCGACCATATTTATCTGCGAATGATCCGACAAAGTATCCTGATATGCCACCAGATAGAAAGCCAGTAGTGAAGAGTAATGCTACGATTTTCTCATCCAATCCAAATTGATCTTTGTAAAGACTGTAAACGTAGGGACCTATTTGAATGTCAGTAATGTGATGACTATCTAATCGAGGGATATACAGTACCTTGAAGCCAATCTGATGCCATCACAAGACAATAAACAGTAAGGAATAATTTGGTGAAGCGACTTGCTTCTGCCTTTGCTAGAGGGGCAGTATCATCATTGTTTTTCCTATCTTCTGTAGACTCTTCTTTTGTTTGATATTGTCGCCATGTAAGAAGACCACATGCTGATATTAATACCAGGAATGCGCCATCATAGAAATTCATATTGAAGAGCTGTTAAAGAGTTGTGTTGATGGGTTGATGGAGGGGTACTTCCAACCAGCTTTATTGAATGGATTTCACGAGAAACGACAAAACAAAAATAATGCCAAATGAATCAATTGATAACTTTGTATGTTCATCTGAAATGGTACTTTGAGATGAATAAAAAGCAATGCGAGATACAAACCTACATTTATGACTCCCTTGTGTTTGAACATTGACATTGGGCGCGTCTCAGCTATGAATGGGCTTTGGCGCTTCATTTCTGTATGTTTGCGGAATTCGGTATTTGGAGGTTTTGATGCTGTGGGATTCTAATGGAGCTCCTCTTGGGCGGTAAATACCCTGTACATCTGACTAAAACCAAATAGGGTGAAAGTGGCATGGCAGAATAATGAAAGGACTCCACCCCATCAACATCCTTAACCTTCACATTTTGGAACTCAATAATATATTTTATATACACAGCCATGGATTGGTAATGGTAATTTTGTCCAAAATGGATGGTGATTGGGAGGAAGTGAGTTCTACTTTCCTTTATCGTCACAAAATGGGTTCTAAACTTTATCTCGTTATAACATGCTGTGTTTATGTTGTTTCTCAGCCTTGTTTATCCCATGCCCTCGGCATTGTTATTCCACGGCACTGAGTTAGCTATCATGGCTTGTTCTAATCAAAGTCAAATTGCCTATGAAGCTCAACTCTCTATACAACAGATTGCTAAACATCTTAACAAGGTCACTAGATTTCAGTTGCCGCCTTCGGGTGTGCATCCAGATCCTACACAAGCTCCTGCGAGAGCATTCGATTCATCTCAAGAGTTATTTTGGATTGGGGATGAACTGGGACGCGTTAAAAGTTTCTATGGACTCGAAGGTATAGGATATACATCCTACAGGGCCGGTCAAGATCCAATTCGTCAATTTCTGTTCCATGATAAAGGAGTTATTTCAGTGGGAGGAAGAAGCGTTCATATGGCATCAAGGAGGGGTTTACACATATGGCACATTACGTACGACACTCCCCAGGGAAGCTTTGCAGATCAGGACTGATACTTTTGCGGATATAGGCACGAAGATATGAAGGACTTACGATGTATGAGTTACACTTCGAGGGGGACATCAGAGATACTAGTTGCGGGGATCCAGGACCAGATGTTTATAATTGATGTGGACAAAGGGGTTATCACGAAACAGGTATAGTACTCCGCGAATATGAGGAATACTTTCTAAACTTCTAGGTACCTACGAACAATCACTATAAGATCATGAAAAGGAGCCGATCCATTTGTGCGGCCACACCGACGGGGTCCGTTTGTATACTCGATCCTTACACCTACACCGTGACCAAGACTTGGCAGGCTCACACAGCACTCATCAATGATATGGATGTGCAAAGTGACTATCTACTCACTTGTGGATATTCAATACCACATCAAGGATCATCGTACAGGCTTGATACTTTTGTCATGGTGCTTAATCTTAGGACGCTGTCGACTTTACCTCCTATTCCCTTTCCTCCAGGAGCAGCATTTGTTAGAATGCACCCGCGAATGTTGACTACCTGTTATATTGTTTCGCAACAGGGTCAAATTCATATAGTTGATTTGATCAACCCGAATTCGAGCAACGTCAGACAAGCAAATGTTTTAACCACGTTGAGATCTCTAGAGATTGCAGCCACAGGGAACGCTATTGCTTTATCAGATATGGAAAACAGTGTACACATTTGGGGCTCGCGAGGCAATATTCGATTTGCCGAGCTCAGCAGTCCTATTGAGTTTGCGGATCCGGAGGATAAACCCGGATCTGGACCTATCGAATGGCGCGACGATACGTAAGTGTGGGAAACTCACTACTTTTTGGTCTTGCTAATTAAACATCGAACAGTCCATTGAATTTAGTCGGTATGCCATATTATCGAGAAAATCTGTTATCTGCATGGCCGAGTCATCTCATTTTCGAAGTCGGTGCTCCGCCTGTCAAGGTGGACCCAAATTGGATTATAAATCCTAAAGTTGGAGATGGGATGATTTGTGGCAAAAACGCAAGGAAGGATGTTAGAAGAAATCAGATAGAGAGTAGGAGAACGGCCGAGAGGACGCAACCAAGTATACAAACGCCAAAATTCTTGAGTGAAAGGGCTAGAGAAGGCGTTAATGATGCAACTCCTGAACGTGGTATTAATGAAATTGCCGAGATCATTAGGGATAAAGAGCTCCCTACTTTACAAGCAGGTAACAGTGCTTTCTACATGAATGTTGAGATTAAGTATAGCAAGTTTGGAGTCGATGATTTTGATTTTGGGTATGTACCAATTCCCTTTTCTGAAGCATTGGCTAATGTTGGGTAGATACTACAATAAGACTCCATATTCGGGGCTCGAGACTCACATCTCGAATTCATATGCTAATTCCTTGTTGCAAATAATGAGATTTACAATTCTCATTCGAAATTTTGCTTTGAAACACACTGCGACGGGTTGTCTTAATGATATGTGTTTGTTGTGCGAAATGGGTTTCTTGTTTGATATGTTGGAGAAAGCAGCGGGGACTGTATGTCAAGCGACAAACCTGCTAAAGACATTTAGCCACATTCCAGAGGGTGAGTAACCTCTTGAAAATCATCTATACACTGCTGATATTTTGATAGCTAAGAGTATGCACTTATTGGAGGAAGAATCACGTGGAGTGTCAATCTCTACTTTACTTCAGTCATTGAATCAATTTCTTCTTATTAGGATTCCACAAGAATTCAAAAGCGTTCCTAGTGGGTCGAACATATTTGAGCGTGTTAGTACCTGATCTGATACTTTCGTCAAGATTATTGCTGATCATTTAGGTTTTTTCTATGCCCGTTACAATGAATATCAGGTGTGTCTTTTGTAAAAGTGAGCATACACGACCAGGAGGATCCTCTTCTGTTGAACTAACTTATCCGCAAACCCCACCTGTAAGTTCAGTACTTCAACAGCATTTGAATCATGCTAAATACGTCAGAAACCATATAATCGAAATGGCAAGTCACCATCAATGCCTAAGAAATCATTTTGTGAAATTTTAAAAGCAAGCATTGAACGAGAAACAACAAATCGCGGATGGTGTGGGACTTGTAGAAAATATCAAACTTTACAGACGAAAAAGACCATCCATACCTCACCACCAGTTCTTATGCTCAATGCAAATCTTACAACTCCTGAATCAAAACAGTTTTGGGAAACGCCAGGTTGTTTGCCAGAAGAGATAGGAACTATCATTAACATGGGTCAAATCTACTGTTATCAAGGCGAAGATTTGAGACTTCACATAGCACGTGGTGCTCACAACATTACTGTTTATTCTCTAGTAGGTTTCGCTGCGGAAATTGATGTTGGGCAAAATGAGAAACCTCATTTGGTATCTTTAATAAATGGTGAAATTCATATTCCTCTTTTGCTTTTGCATGTACTAATATATCATAGTTGCTCATTCTGCGCCAACTCCACCAGCAGAAAGTCAATGGCATCTCTTTAATGATTTCCTAGTTACTCCGATACCAAAAGAAGATGCTTTATCTTTTAACTCGAGCTGGAAATTACCATCCGTTATCACTTATCAAGTGAAGGAAACGAACAATAGGATTGACAATTCGTGGAAGGACAATTTAGACACTTCTCTTTTATTTGCCGATGAAAAGTTTGTTCTCCTCTCTTTTCAACCTCTTACAAGTGCTAACAGACCTTAAGTACGCGCGTCATTAATAAAACTCACAAACCTCTCTCCCCAGATCGTGAGATGCCAACCGAAGGAACTCTCATAGCTCTCGATACTGAATTCGTCTCAATTCGTCAACCCGAAATAGAAGTCAACTCCGAAGGCGAAAGACAAACTATCCGGCCTATTGCACACGCTCTAGCACGTGTCTCTGTTGTTCGAGGCTCAGGTGATGATGAAGGATATCCATTTATTGATGATTACATCAATTGCAAAGATCCGATTATCGACTACTTGACGTCTTATTCGGGTATTAGTCCTGGTGACCTCGATCCACAAAGAACGAAACACAATCTCGTTTCTCTCAAGATTGCTTACAAGAAACTCTGGATTCTATTAAATCTTGGATGTAAATTTGTTGGTCATGGACTCAAAACAGACTTTAGAGTCATTAATATACAGATACCAAAATCACATGTCATTGATACAGCTGATCTTTTCTTTATACCATCCAAACAGAGAAAATTGGGATTGGCGTTCTTGGCATGGTATTTATTCAGAGAAGATATTCAAGTCGAGACGCATGATAGTATTGAAGATGCAAGAACCGCGTTGAGATTATGGAAAAAATGGGAAGAATGGACTGCGTCAGAAGAAGTTGGAGGGATGTTAGTGGAGGAATTGTTGATTGAAGTTTACAGACAAGGACAAGCGTGCAATTTTAGACCACCCAGTTTCAATGCTAGGAAAGAGAGAGAAAGAGAGAGAGAAAGAGAGGGGAGGGATATTAGTAGAACTAATACTCCACCAGCAAATGGTAACGACGATGGTGGTGTAAGCTTGAAGGGACCAAGTACACCGGTTCGAAAGCCACTTGGAACGTTACCGTTTGGCTCTGGGGGAGGTGGGACTGTAAATGGGAGTGGGTTTTCTAACTTTGGAGGAGGAGGTAGTGGGTGGACGCCGGGTAAAGGAAGTCCATTACGGTGAGGTTATACGAGATGAAGGGGAGGGCGTGCCTTGGTCTTGATGGTTGAATGACTTGGATTAAGTATTACGGAAGAGGGGGGAGGCGGAGAGTAAAAGAAGGATGTAGAAGGAAGGTGACTCATTATAGCAAATAAATAGATTGAATGAAGAAAAAAAGTTTATTTGAAGGTTAGAGAAATAGATTTCGTATGTTGACAGTGATTGAGGTACAAGCAATGAGTGTACTGTGTGATGACATATACTGGTTAACTCAAGAATTATCGTCCATATATCCTTTGTTGATAGAGTAGATACACTACAGTGAAATGAATTTCTTTATTTACCGAGGCTCTCCTATTAAGTTGCTCGAGCACCATCTGAAATCCACCCCTCTCCGCTCCACAACCATTCTTTATGTACCCTCACTTGTCCCCCTTCCCGTTGTCTTCTTTTATTCCCTTTATTCCTCACTCTCTGGTCCATTCTATCCAACCATCAACACCCAAACCTCTTTGATCCACAATCTCTAGATATTCTTCTCTATAACACATATCGTATCGAATCAAATAACAAATCGAGCTTGTACTTTAGTATGTTCCGATAGTATGGGAGAGATTCATAGTCTTTAGTCATCCTACATAGTTTTAGACTGATATAGGATGTTAACGAATCAATGATTCAATCAATCTGGGACGATTTCTCTTCTCAAACTCAAGCATAGGAATCGAATCATATATTATCTTGATGAAAACGAGTTTCAATGTACCTATTAACGGCTTCATTACTTCTGTCTTCATAATATAATTTCCTTTTATTTTCTTCTCTTCTCTTTGTAATACCTGCCCTTCTCTCGCATTTACAAAATCGATATGAGAAAGCAGGATAGTGGTTGTTGGAAGACGTCAACGCCTGGGTAGCACTATCCGGGGCCTTGAAGGATATCTTGCAGAATAGGAATTTGAAGCCCACAATCTTGATCGTTGATACACTGGGCGGATTTCGAGACCTAAAACAGCTAATCGACCTGCTTGTTTCAAGATTGACCATCTCTTTTCGTGTTAAGTGGGGGGAGGGGCGGCAAGATGCTGGTACCAGGATTCAGATGATCGAATATCAGATATGTCTATGTATACATGTGTGTGTACTCCTTTTGACACGACCTGACAAATATCTAAATCTAACTGCGAATCTATTCTCTCCTAGAATTCTATATATAAAGATAATATCACCAACCTACTCTATTCTTCCTCCGCCTCAATTCTCGCAAAATCTTCAATGATCTCCAACAACACCGAACCCAACTCCTTCACACAAGGCGGCACAACCATCGAAAAGTGATCTAAAACCAAACGTTAGCATATTTCAAAATTCAAACAACCCAATCAGCAACTCACCAGCATCAACCTTATGAACCTTAATATCCCCCTTCAACAATAACTCCTCCCACCCATTCGTCCCAAAATCGCTCCTCTTCCCAAAAAACCAACTCTTAAACTCCTCCTCAAAATCCCCCAACTCCATCTCACTCATATTCTTCCCCCCGCTCCCCGGCCTCATTGCCGCCTTTCCCGTAACCTGATCGTTCCTCTCCCCCGGATTTGCACTGTCATTCAGCCCCTTACTCGCCCAAATAATATGCGTTTTGCGCGGTGCCCTCCCAGCCGGAAAAGGCACTGCATCGTATTTACAGAGAGCGCGAACGGTGGATGTCAGATGTTGTTTTTGCTGCACCAATAATCCCGACAATAGGTTTCCGCGCCCCACACCGGTGAATATCCCGAAACGCTCGATGAATTCCATGGTTACATCTGCCATAGGAACAGAGACATTGATGCGTGTATCTATTATCACGAGCCCGGTGATCGTCTCCCCGACCATGGCTAAGCGATGTGCAATTTCGTATGCGTAGATTCCGCCTGCGGACCAGCCGCCGATTAAATATGGGCCGTGGGGCTGGATGGTGCGCATGGCGGTGATGAAGATGTCGGCCATCTCTTGGATGGAAAGAGTGTATTCGTCTGGATTTTCTAGGAATGGCGATTCCAGGGCGTAGATCTTGCGACCGTGAGGGAGAGCGGGGAAGTGAATGTAGGGTGTTACGGCGCCGGAGCCGTCGGTAGCGAGGAAAAGGGGGGTGGCTTTGGAGTGGGGTTTGCCTTGGATGAGGATTACGCGGGATTTGGGGAGTTTGGGTTGAAATTCGGAGGTGGCGGTGTGACATGTTTGGGGGGAGGGGGATCCGTCGAGTTCTTCTCGTGCTGAGGTGATGGTAGAATTGCTGTTGAAGAATGCCGCTGGGAGTTCGGTTCCCGATTGCTTTTTGAAGATTGAGAGAATTTTGATGCTGAGCATGGAATCAACTCCTATCTCAGCAAATTCAGTACTAGGTGTCAACTCGGTGATATCTAGTCCTAATTCTGCTGCGACGATCTTGAATAAAGCAGTACTCTGAGAAGTCTCAGATGTGTTTTTTGATTTCTTGTTATTCTGAGCTTGCGTTTGGCTGGATGATCTTTGACGCTTAGCTGCTAGATTCTGTCGTTGTTCCTGTTTAGCCGTTGACTTTGACGGTGGTATTGGTATAGTCTCAGAGACACTGCCAAGCTCCCCCTTCGCTTCTACTACAGTGGGAAAATTCGAGAAGAACGCGGCGGGCAGCTCAACTCCAGTTCTTTCCCTGAAATCTGCAATGATGGAGATGCTCATTTGTGAATCTATTCCCACATCCGCAAAGCTTGAGTTATCTTTCATCTCTAATAAACTAACACCGGTTTTTGCAGCGACAGTATCGAGCAAGATGGAAGATAGATCGAGAGCCTCGACTGAGGTTTGCGAGCTAGTATTTGATACTAGCGTCGGAACCCAAGAATTTTCCGACGAATCACCTACCGAAGAAGCGGCATCTTCCTTGTCCTTGTGCAGGAATCGAGTTTTGCGAGGAGCTGGGCAAGGATCAAATGATTGTTCCTTCCCTAGCATCATGCTGAATATATCTCTGCTTAATCGCTGGAATTTGATATCGGTGCTTATCGCCACGAGGTTCGTGTCTGCAAAGACATACACGTCACACAGGCAAATGCCTTTGCTGGTTCGCTCTCGGATCGTTGCATAGGCTGTGCACTGTTGATTTTTTAACAAATCGCCCATGATGCTCATGCGTCCAATATTTCCCGCAATATACAGGTCTGTTTTTGATTTTGCGGGATCGACATTTAGCAACAGTCCTGCGAGATGTACGAGTGCATCTACAATGTATGGACTGTGCGTGAATGAGCCTAGGTCTGGATCCTGTTTAAGAACCATAGTGGCTGCGGCATCCTCGAAGTTTTCTTCTATGGAGATTTCTGATAATGCGTGGTAAGATCTATCGTAGTCGACTAGGGTTGAGAAGAGCTTGTAGATCAGGGGTTTAGTCATGTGGTGTGCGGTTTTGGAGTTCTCTAAGCTGCCAACTCTACTTTCGACCAGCCGTTGCATTCGTGACCATTCCACTTCCTGAATAACATTTCCTTCGTTGACAACAACATGACATGTACCATGCTCTGCCATACTGCTCGAGTTTTCAACAGAGCTAAAAGTGATAGAGATGACCTTTTGCGTGGAGTCAAGATCGACTGAAACGTGAACTATTTGTTCCGTATCTTTCGAATGAACAACAAGCGCATGCGTCATATTAAGACCAACCAGTTCCAGATTGGCTAAATCTGCTTTGATACCAGCTTGCTCGAGAACGAATTTCGAAGCTGTATACGCCATATCGCAGAACACGCTAGCGGGACAGATTGCAACGTCATCTACAATGTGGCCGCGAATGGCTTTGTATAGATTTGGCTCGGAGACCTGAGATGTGAAGATAGCTGATACGTGAGTGTTATTGATACTTAGAGATTCTAATTTCTGCAGACATGTTGTTGAGAGAGTAGGTTTAGCTTGGGTTTGAGGAGCTGCTAGCAATTGCGCTCGATATGGTACCCAGTAGTCCTTCAAGTCGAACGCATATGTGGGTAAATCTAATAGTCTGACGCTATTGAGATAATCGGCGTGGAACTCATGCCAAAGTACAGGAAGCTTGGCGACATGTGCAGCAGCGATAGCCTCTGAAATTGTTTCCCAATTATCTTTGCTGCGATGTAGTGACGGGAGACAAGTTGGTTGTGCATCTGATAGACTCTGTGTGATGAGTCCGATACACACTGGATGCGGACCTATTTCGAGAATGAGATCGTTGTTGCTGATGAATCCCTCTGATTCACATGCTCGCACGGCTTTCATGAATGTGACTGGTTCACAGATTTGTCGTCGCAGATAAGTGGCATTGAATACTCCTTCAGAAGTAATCACATCACCAGTCAAAGTTGAAGCGACCGGGATTTTAGGTGTCATGAAGTGTGCTCTCTTGGATGCCACCTCGAAATCATCAAGAATAGGATCCATTGCCTGAGAATGAAATCCGAATTCAGTTGGAAGAAGTGAGCATTGAACTTTCTTCTCCTTAAGCTGAATTTGAAGCAATTGTATCTCCTCTGTTGGGCCACTTACAACCGTGCTAGAAGGACCATTCAAACAGGAAATTTCACAAAATAACCGAGTCTTCAGAACCTCTGAGACTTTGTCTTTCGGCAATGCAATGGCTAGCATAGCCGAGGTTCCAGGTCCACACTGCTTCTCCATCAACGTGGCCCGCTTGTTGACTAGAAACAGGGTATCGCTGATGGATAACACACCAGCAATGCACAACGCGGCGTACTCGCCAAGACTATGTCCGATTACCAAGCGTGGTTTGAGGCCTAAAGACTCCCAGTAATGGGCCAAAGCAATCTCTAACGCGACAATAGCTAGTTGAATTTGAGCAGCTGTCGCATTTTTCACATCTTGCGTTCCGCGTATGATGTCAATAAAGGAAGCAAGATCTTGACTGTCGCAGAGAGATTGGTACGTATCGAGAGTTTGCTTGAATCTTGGTGAGGTTTCATATAGTATTCTGCCCATTCCAGTGTATTGCGCGCTTTGTCCTGTGAATACGAATATAAGTGATGAGCCGGACTTTGGTGATAGTTCTGGCTCTGTGCTTGAATCGAGTTGCTTCGCTAGTTCGCTAATGTACTCGCATACAAATGCTACTCGGTAGAGCTCATGTTCGTGACGAGCAGTTGTTGTATAAGCCAAATCAGCTATCGTAGTATCTGGATTCATCTTTAGGTACTGTATTAGGCGCTTCTTGTTTGCTGCGTGAGAGGTTAAGGTACGAGCGGAAACTGTGATGACATGATGGGATCGTGGATCAGGGCTTTTCGACACTCTTCGAGGTGCGTCTTCAATTAGGAGACTAGTGTTACCCCCCGCAGCATCAAAAGAATTAACCACGATTCTTCTTTTACCATCACCATTCGGTCTTGGAACCAGTCGGCCCTTGCCGTCTGCAATAACAACATTCGACGCTTCCAGGTCAGGAAAATTGTGATTAAGCTTGAAGGGCCACTCCGGCTGCGTTGGGATACTTCCTTCCCTCAAAATCAACAATGATTTAATGAGTGAAGCAATTCCCGCCGCCGCTTCACTATGCCCGATAATCGCCTTCACAGCCCCAATGTGCAGCGGATTATCCCTGCCCCGATTCTGCGCAAACACGTTCCTTACCGAATTAGTCTCGACATTATCCCCGGCCTGCGTCCCTGTCCCATGCATTTCCACAAACCCTACATCATGTGGATCCACGCTGGCCTTTCTCAACAGCCTCCCAAACAATGTTTCCTGCGCCTCTTGCCCTGGATACGTTATCGAGGCCGCGCCTGCATTTGAGTTTCTTTCTGTTCCCTTAATCACAGCAAGAATGTTATCATTCTCTCTCACTGCATCTTCCAACCTTTTCAAGACCACAACGCCGAGCGCTTCGCCCCGACAATACCCATCCGCATCATCGTGGAAAGTCTTGCACCCGCCAGTCGCGGATAAAAATCCACCTTTGCCTAATCCGGAAAACATTTCTGGGGCTCCGAGTAGTGATCCCCCAGCTACAGTTGCCATGTCGAGTTCACGATTATTGAGGGCTTCGCACGCGAGATGTGCACAGGTCAAACTAGACGAACAGGCCGTATCAACACTGTAAAAGCCTCCGCCCCATTTAAAGTAATGCGCTACTCGGCCGGGATGAAATGCCCGGTCAAGAGAGGGCAGGTAATGAGTATCGATTCCCATCTGGGCATTGATATCTTTCCAGTCATCGACGGTTTGGCCAAAATATGTGCCGATTTTAGAGGGATGAGTAGAAGCGCTGGAATTACGCGCATACCCTGCTTTTTCAAGGGCTTCGTAGGTACAGAGGAGAAGGAGTCGTTGCAGGGGATCCATCTGGAGGGCTTCTTTGGGGAGACGTTGAAAAGTTTGTTGTCGAAGAGGCCGGGGTGGCTGAGGAAGACGCCGTGGGTGGTCAAGAGAGAGTTTTTGGTTTCGCCGGTGGGGTCATGGAAGTCGGAGATGGAGAAGCGAGAGGGAGGAATCTGTTGAGTAAGTATTTGTTTCTATGAGTATTGCGTGCGTGTAGGAGAAAATTACCGTTTCGTGTAATGCATGCCCGGCTTGTAGCACCTTCCAGAATTCTTCCACATCTTCCGCCAATGGAAAGCGCCCGGACATCCCGATCACGGCGATATCACTCGATCTACCACGTGAGTTTGTGGTGTCTGAACCTTCATGAGACCCGGTGTGAGCGCTTATGTGAATGGCGAAGAAAAAAGATGCTAATATCTTCTGCACCATCCCCGTATGACTACACGGTCCCAGAGTCGTTAAAGTGATTTCCGAATCCCTATCAAGACTGACAATTGAAGCAAGGCCCTCGACTGTCTTGTCGATGCACATCGGTTTATGTGCTATATCATCCACAATCGCGTGGAGAAGTTCGCGTAGCGATGCTGCTGGATATGGCAAGCCAGTGCTTATTGAGACGAGTAATGATGTGTGTGGGATTGCGTAGCTGAGAACAGGCGAATCTCCAAGAATAAAGGAGATATCTAGCTGTACGAGATGCGGAGCGTGAACCGCATTGGCTGAGGTGAGTAATTTATGCGGTACGTCAATTGCGGGGCATAAATTTTGCAGTGTAGATGGAGGCCCGAAGACTGTAGTCCACGATTTTGTGGATACGCCTGCGTATGCCCATCTTGGCTTTGGGAAATTCTACAAAGACCAAAGATCAGTATCGTTATTTTGAGCCTGAAACTCACTATTTTGGCTTACCTTGTTAAACTCCTCCAATTTCTTCTCTAGGTCCCAAAACTGAAGACCAAACAATATACAGCCCCATGATCTGTGCGTGTCTTCGATACATCGCGATCGCCGGCGTACAGCAACACCTAGTCGCAGACTTATTGCTATGATTTCAGTGCCTAACTTGGCAATTTTACTTGTATCACTCACTGCTGCTGCCACTGAAGCTGCAAGAAGACCGATGCAAAGACCGAGAGAATGTGTATTGTTGTTGTTTTCGGTCGATTTGTGAAAGAGCAAGTCACCAATTTGTATGGTGGTGATGAGAACATAGCCAATCATCTCATCTGGGAACTCTTCTTTGGCATATCGCTCGCCCAACTCAAGAAGATCGTCGAAATGCCCAAACACTCCTCGTTCTTCTGGCAGAAAGGTGGAAAGCTGGCATTGTATGACATCACAGGCAGATCTTAGGAAGTCTCTCAGCTGTGGGTGAGTCTTAGAGTGAGAGAAAAGTGTTTTGAGAGCGGAGAGCTTGTCAACGTGTACATCTCCAAAGAGGAAGATTTGGTGTGTAGGGGCCATGATTTATGGATGGGTATAGTTTCTTTACGGGAGGAGAAGAGAATGGAGTGATATTTCAGGAAAGGAGATTATATTAGAGGGTAGGGTGCGAGTTAGTCAAGTGAGTACTCTATTTGCAAAAGAGGACTCCAGAGTGAAAGGACGGTGATAAGAGGGGAGTCTGAGTTTACAGGAGTTCCGGTGATTCCATTGGGAAAAGTGTTCCTCCGCGAACCAAGAAGGCTGTACATATAGTGGCGAGGAGGCGCCTGCTCCTGTTCCCGTCTTCCTCAGCTTTTAGTCTTTTTCTTGAACAAGAACATAGAATTCTGGTTCCCTTCTACAGTGTTCCCTAGCAGATAGGGACGAGGTAGTAAGGTCTAGAGTGGGCGATGTGAGCTGTGTTGGAAACATGCTAGCTGATTGAAAAGTTTTAGAAAACCATGTAATTCTACGAAATACACACAGGTTCTGTTCAGTAGGCTTTTTGAAGGAAGGGTAGACATTCTACTGCACAGCTTGTACAAGGCTTTCTTGAGCGGCGTCTTTGGCGTTAGAAAGCTTGCATAGTATCACCATCATGGATCTTATTATTCCAATAGCGTAGTGCCCTGCATTCAGTGATCTATTCGACATACGAAGGGATGATATACTTTATCTTCAGCCAGTCTTGGATATTAGATAGTCACTGTGGGATATGTATCCTTATTCAATACCCCGAGTTTTCAGAACAAACGCGATATCCCACATTGGGTAAGCAATATCGTAAAGGTGTATGAAAAGACGCCTGGTAAGCCATCTGGATTCCTATTCAGTAGTTGCGGCAGTGTGTCTCATTCGTAGAAAATCTGGATATCCTGTGTCCAATATTTCGAAACTTTTGAAGCGAAATTTCATTTTCTAGCGCACTCTCTGCACAATCTCAGCCGACTTTCAGTAAGCCAACTTCAGAGGGAATTCCTGTTCTATCCGCATACTTTTTACTTTGTGGGGTGATATTCCTACCCGGGCACATGCAGTGGAACAATATTCCTTTTTTCCTTGCATATTTGGATACATTCAAATAATGTATTGACAGAAATATAGCCAGCTAATAGAGTTGCAATATATCTTCTCGACACAACTTCAGAAACCAAAGAAAAAGCAAAGAACAATGATGTAAGTCGTGGCATAACGCCGCTGATTGAGGGGGATCACCCCGTCGAAACTTGAACTACACAACCACAGTGTGTTGGACCAATTTAAAAACTGAAGAAATTCAACTAGAATTTCCGAAACAGTATCAAGAGCTCAGATTGGAAAGTAGAAATCTTCATGGGAAGGTATAAGAAGACCAGAGTTTTGTGCATAAATTATAGCACGTCGCGTCGATGGACTTATCGCGATATCAAGCGCGTTACCAACAATAAAAACTATCGCCCATATGAGAGAATGTAATGCACTTCTCAGGTGGACTAAGGAATCAATGATCAGTAATTATCCCTCAAGACATTGATTGTTGAATGAAGCAGCTGAAGAACTTTGCATATAACGAAATTACACTTCAGACAATGTGTTACTTATCTCTTTTGAGCCCTCGCCACAATATTGGATACTCCTGGCCAAAATTCAATTCCACGATTTTTTCAATGATATCCACATCTTAGATTTGCTATTGGGTATTGAATTGAATCCATGTGAATGGCCAGAGCAATAAAAGCAGTACTTGGTGGTGGTTTGACGCGGGCTGAAATGTGGTTCAAAAACGGGGAATTAAGCAGAAGAACGCATACGTCGTACTTACTTCAGCCACTTGATGTTGCAATATTCAGCCCCCCCAAAACGACCTACCGTAACGCTATTAGGATAATTTAAGTTTTGGTGGGTGGTTAGCGGCGTTGCGCCACAACTTACATCGTCAAATTTACAATCCGATTCTACCGCGTAGACCTGTAAGTCCCACTTCACTTTTCTACTTTGAAGTATTGGCACTCACGATGAGTCTTGGTGCTGCAAATCTGATCAGGTACTTAGGGTATGCTTCGGTCTGTTTGTATAACCACGTTTCACAGATATCAGTTCCAGCAAGGAATCTAGACAACGCCTCCTCATGATTAGCTGTTTATCCTGTTGTGCCTCTTTTGTTGATGGAATTATCGTATCATATATCCCACTATGATAGGATAGAATGGAAAGGGTCACGTACATGGTCACATGTATGACAGGTGTAGAAGCAAACGACATCACTGATGGGAAGATTTAGGGTGCTGCTGTCCCTCTCATGCAGGAATTATGCAGTCAACATCACCCCATAAGAAGACTGAGAGTGTGGTACAGTTTCAAGCCTTTGACGGAAGGGATCTCTTTTTCTCTTTCTCTCTCCTCGGATTTCAGGTTTGAGTTTAATATAAAATGTTCACAATCTTCTATCTTGTCCCTTTATACTCGCAGCTTATTTCGGGAAGATTTACTTTGCTTCATAGACTGATAACTTCTGGTGGAGAAGCATTGTTCTTAATTCGTCTGTTACTTACTACTCATACTATTGAAATCAGTATTTCAAAATGGCCAATATGAATAACTCGGACATTGAAGTCAAGATTGAAGAACGAAGTACGAACCTTCCATGGTATCAACTCACTATTCCGTCTGCCAAACTCGATGGAGCAATTCGCGAGTTGCTCGAAGACTACGCGGGATTCCCACCTTCCGAAGTCGAGCCTCATGTTTACAAAATTGTCAGAACTTCCTCTCCTTTGTGATTTTTGGGAAATTAACGATTTATTCACAGCGTAATCGTGCTTGGAGTATCTTCCCCTATCCTTGCATAGGGGCTTTCCAATTCCTCGACATCGTTATCACATCCTTCCCATACTATCCTACACTCCTCACGCGATTAGCTTCTCCAGGTACCAAGTTCCTCGATCTTGGTTGTTGCTTTGGACAAGTCATTCGACGACTTGTCTACGATGGTGCTCTGCCAGAAAATCTTTATGGTTGCGACTTGCGAACCGAGTTCTTTGAACTCGGCTATGATCTCTTTAAGGATAAAGACAATTTGAAGAGTACGCTCTTCAAAGCAGATATATTTGATGAGGACAATGTGGATGTGAAAAGGCTTGAGGGAGATATTGATGTAATCTATGCCGGAAGTTTTCTCCATATGTATGGATGGGATGATCAGGTTAAGATATGCAAGATATTGGCAAGAGCTATGAAGAAAGAGGGAAGTGTGCTTATGGGAAGGCAGGGTGGAGGCAAAGTTGCAAAAGAGGTAACATTTCCCCTTCACGAAGAGAGCAAGATGTTTGTGCATAACGCGGAGAGCTTTCGAAAGATGTGGGACGAGGCAAGCGAGGCGAGTGGCACAAAAGTGAGTTTTCCGTATATATTTATCTGTCGGTAGCTCTGGACAGACTGAGCTGACCTGGCACAATTTAGTGGAAAGTCGAATGTGAGGAGGTTCAACTACGCAGTGATGATTGGAAAGGAGCGGAAGGGATGGTTTGGGTTCAATTTGTTATCTTCAGAGAATAGGTAGATTTTTTTATATTCTTAGAGAGCCTAAACTGAGCTATAAACAATATAGAATATACGAGTTACATTCAACCAACCAATTTGGTGGGTGAAGATTACAGACTTTTATCTTAGCAAAAGAGTAATAGAGATTGCATTTTTTGCAACAAAGTCATCTATATAATAAGGCTGTGTTATTACATTCCTAGTTTCCTCATCTAAGCTACCGAGTGAAAAGAATGAGTTGAGTAACTTTCTAGCGAAAAGAATTGGCTCAGATGTCCCATAGCCAGGAGTTCCACAAATTATCTCAAGACGACAGAGTAATCATTGGTTATACAATTGAATTTACTCGTGAAGCTGGAGGATCATACCGGCGAAGCAATTCAACCAAAATTCAGGGATCAGCAAACCTCATTTGCAATACTTCATCATGTTTCTTATTCCTTTCGCTGATATTAATTCATTGGCCACATTTACCTTATTACGCGCTTTGGTTTTCTTTACCTAGGTATTTCAGCCTATAATTAATTATGTGTATGGTCAGCTGTCCCGGGTATCTCTACTTACGAATAATTATAGCGGCCTGTTAAGACAACTTCAAATACATTATGTATATTATTTTTATCTCCTATACAATCTTCTTATTCAATATTTAAACCCTCATATATTTTATATAAACTTTCATACTCAAAATATAAAATCCTTAATCTCAAATATTTGAATTTATTCTTTATATCAATTCAATACAAATATGAAATTTGTAATTTCTGAATAAAACTTTTATTTCTAAAAATTTTGATTAAGTTTTATTTCTAGTTTTTTTGATACTAGGAAGATAATTTCATACTATTAGTACTTCTCTTATGACTTTTCTAGATATTTTGAGATCTATATTATAACTTATTCTATCAAAAGTTTATCTGATATTCGAATTGATAAGCTTAAAGCTATATTGAAATATTTAAAATATATAAATAAAATTTAGATTATATTATTATACTCGAAGTAATAAAACTATTGAATAAGACTTTATAATTATTATAATTATTTTTATAATACTTTGTTTTAAAAGAATTATTAAAATAGAATATAAATCATTTTTAGAATTTTTAATTATAAAAATAGGAATTTAGGATTTAGAAAGTATATAATTTTATCAATTATATTGTAAAATAAAAATAATATATAATAAATATTTGAAATTATTCCAATATTTTAAATGACATGTTTTAGATATTGAATAAGAAGATTATATGGAAGATAAGAGTGTTTATATATAATGTATTCAAAGTATTCGTTTCAATGGTTCACTATAATAACAAACAGTCCTACAGGTCAGGGATTGTTTATCTACATATCAACTCGCACCTTCAATTGTAACGTGGCCGCACTTTACATCTTATATATTTTTTGCGATCTTTCTTTCAATGTGAATCCTATTATCTCATTACTCGAATAACTGTATTGCTTATTTCAGTTTACAATTATTATATCCTCTCCTAAAATTTTGTCGAGATTAGTTTCAATCACGCATTTCTTTTTAGAAGGCTATCTCATTCGGACTGTGTACTCCATAGCCTTGTAAGAAACTTTTTGAATTACTGCCGTCACTCTTCTGAATTACGATATCAGCTCTTGCAGTAAGCATGTCAGGCATTGGTGAAGCAAGCCTTGTCCTCGGTATAATCTCTTCGATAATTTCAATTATCGAGACTACCAAGCAAGTCTACGATGCTATTGAGGATGAAGCCGGTCTCCCAAAGAACTTCAAGAAATCGGCGACAAAACTCCCTCTCATCTCCCAGCTCCTTGAAGATGCTGAAAGATATATCAACACGGCAACGGGTGATGAGTTGATAAAGGCTGCATTTACACCTACTTTAGAGGATTGTGAAATCCAGGCTATTCAACTTCAGGCTATACAACTTCAGGCTATACAACTTCAGGAGTTGTTTGAAAAAGTCATGCCAAAAGGCAGTGACTCGAGATGGGATCGATATGTAAAAGCTGCTCGGACAATTGGAAAGAAAGGACGTGTGGAGAGTTTGATCGGGGGAATTTTGGACGACCTGCAGCTCTTGGCAACTCGCTTTCCACAAGTAATGACATCAAGAGGAAAAGAAAAGTTAGAAAATGCAATTGAGGAGGTTGCTAAGATGGAGCCTTCTTTACCTGATGGTTTCGAGCAGATGCCTGCGTATGCACACTATGGAAGTGGTGCTCAAAACAACAATACTGGTGGTGGAACTCAGAACAACAACAATAGTGCTGGCAACCAGAACAACGGCCCAGGTCAACAGTTCATTGGTACCAATCACATCAGTACGCCTTCCAATTCGTAGTTATAGCATAAATGATTTTGTAGTTGATAAATGTTGTAGCTAAGAATGTCACTGTCGATGATATCAATCGATCTTGTCTCCACGATTTGCAATGTCCTGATACGTTGGCTGTTAAGTGTCGGCTGAAAGAGAATAAGGACAAGTTGCTCTATCAATCCATTGACTGGATTCTTCAAGACCCGCAATATATCAGCTGGAAATGCGGAGGCGATGTCTCTTTACTGTGGATTAAGGGCGGCGCCGGCAAAGGTAAGACCATGATATCGATTGGTCTTATTGAGAGACTATCATTCCCACAAGATGAGTCGACCGTGGTGACTTATTTCTTCTTTCAAAATGCCGATTATGAGCTCAACACCCTTCAAGCAATCATCAAGGGTTTAATCCTGCAATTGGTGAATCAACAAAAGGAGCTAATCGAATATCTGCGAGACCACTGGGATACCAGAAAGGAGCGCTTTAATAAAGAGATGACGTCGTGGCGAACGCTATGGGACATCTTTTACAAAATGTTATACCGATGCAAGTGCCCAAAGATATACGTGATCGTAGATGCCCTGGATGAGTGCCAAGATGATGGTATGACCGATCTCTTAAAGCTCGTTGTACGAACAGGACTCGATCATCCATCAAAAATCAAATGGCTGTTAACAAGTCGGCCACTGGATAGTGCTGAACAGGAGTTACTAGTTGGATGTGAGCAAGTGATGATCAGCTTAGAACTTAACTCAACGCATATTTCTCAGGGTGTAACAACTTATATTGTTAACAAAGTTGCTGAGCTCGACCGTCGTAATTCTTATGGATCAGATCTATGTCAAAAGATACAGAATGAACTCACTGAAAAGGCCGAGGACGCGTATCTATGGGTAAGCTTGATATGCAAGAGACTCGAGAGTGTGCATCGGGAGAACACATTGACTACAATTCAAGACTTGCCGCCGGGTTTGCATCTTTATTACAATCGCGTACTTCATGAACTCAGCAAAGGTCAGCCTGCCGTTGTGAAGGGATGCATGCGATTATTAAGAGTGATGATGCTGGTCTATCGGCCTCTGAATGTAGTGGAAGTGGATAGCGTTTTAGGTCTGTCTAAATATGATACTGCTAGAGCGCTGGATCGATGTGCTTCATTTTTGAAGGTGCGAGGAACTGATATCAAATTCGTTCATCAATCAGCTCGAGACTACCTCGCTGGGGAGAATGGAAGATCTATACTCGATACTAGTGAATTATATGGGCATAATGATATCGCAGTCAGTTGTCTGTCTTATTTGTCTCAAACCCTCAAGACTAATCTTGTTGACTTACCGCGACCTGATTCAACTCGGAAATCCATAGAAGGGAACCAACTAATGACTAGCCTGGACTACGCAGCTACGTTCTGGGCACAACACCTTGAAGGCGCCAGGGAGGAGATACCATTGCAAGACTCATCTATTGAACAAGCTGTAGTCGGTACATTCCTCCGCTCCATGTTTTTAGAGTGGCTAGAGTGTCTGAGTTTATTAGACAAACTCTCACGCGCTACTGAGGCGTTAAAAATATTAAAAGATATAGCAGACGTGAGTAACATATGTTCGATGTCCCGAATCATTTTCTAATCGAAGACTTTCGCAGTTAGAGAAGAACGTTTCCTTATCGATGCTGGTACAGGATGTCACCCATTTTTTGTCTCAACACTACCGGACAATAGAGAATTGGCCTTTACAAATCTATAACTCTGCGATAGCTTTCAGCCCTGAAACAAGCATAATAAGGAAGAGCAACCTGAGTAAGCTTCCTGTGTGGCTCAGAAAGCTCCCTCAAGCGGAAGACTCATGGGCTTCTTCAATACGAACGCTCACAGGATATTCCGACTCGATTATAGCTATAGCATTCTCGCCAGATAGCAAGCAAATCGCTTCTGGATCTGATGATAAAACAATCAAGCTATGGGATGCTATAACTGGTAATCTTCGAAAAATATTTACAGGTCATTCCCACTGGGTTACAGCTATAGCATTCTCTCCAGATGGTTAGAAAATCGCATCTGGATCTTTTTGTGGAACTATCAAGCTATGTGATGCTATTAATGGCGATCTTCAGAAGACATTTATAGGTCAATCCGACTGGGTTACAGCTATAGCATTCTCCTCAGGTGGTAAGAGAATCGCATCTGGATCTTTTCATGGAATTATCAAGCTATGGGATGCTATTACTGGCGATCTTGAGAAAATAATTACAGGTCATTCCCACTGCGTTACAGCTATAGCATTCTCGCCAGGTGGCAAGCAAATTGTGTCTGGATCGGACGATAAAACCATAAAGCTATGGAATATCGCTAAATTCCTCAAAGTCTCTAGAATGTTTGGTAGCAGAGTTGGTCGTCGGATTGATTTCTGCAAATGGCAAGAGATCAAGACCTCACAAATAGTCGAATTTGTAAGATTCTCTACAGACGGCCGCCACCTTGTAACAGATATCGGTTCTATTAAGATCAAAAACATTATAGATATGCAAAGTCCTGATTGTCAGTCATTACAACCCCTATCGGTTAGCCGGGGGTGGATTCACTACGGAGCGATGCCTATAATTTTTTTACCGTCGTATCCTCTTCAATGTTGTTATGATACCATAGGCGATCAAGTGGCTATCGGGGTTGCTAATGGTCAAATCTGGAATTTTGATATTGATCGTACGAGCTTGAACCCAATACTCAAAAGCTCAATGTGACGAAAACCTCAATTTTCCTTCCACCACTATCGTATGAGAGACATCGAGTGCGTTAATCACGACAACACAAAATAAGATTACTCGAGATTATTATCAGATTTAGGTGGCCCG